AAGACTGAACTAAAGCGACAGTGCCGGGTGATCATATAAAGTCCCCTTTATTACATAATAATTTGGCAAATTATCAACACATCAAGCTAAAATTTCCAACATATCTTAATGGTGAGAATTTTTATTTTTTAAGTTGAAACCTCGTGACCTGTCAAAAAAATGAAATTTGTATCCCATCTAAAGTCTTAAAATGTATCTAGGTAATTTTCGATACAAATTTGCGGTTGGGGTTATAAATGAAGGATAAAACCAGAGACCTCGGAATGGAATACTCGGAAGTCTCTGGTTTTATTCTACCCCCAACTGGAAGTTGTATCCCATCTAAAGTTTTAAAATGTATTGAGGTAATTTTCGTGGAATAAATGAGTGCTTTACAATAAAGAGACTCGACCAGAGACATCTGAAACGATTTATTTGACAAGAAAAAAGTCTCTTGAAGCGAACGATGTCATTTTAAAGTAGGTTAATGATTGATAATGATACATGAACAAAATACGAGCTTGAAGCGGGGGTGCCTGAAATTGAGTTAGATACCTTGTGGTAAAAATAAGTAGGGGTGCACCGTATATGAAACAAGTGCCTGTGATTGATAGTCTGAAATTTCTCTTCACCTAAATATTAAAAGCTTGCAGTGATCGCTATAAATCTATACAACAGTCAAGTTACATACGGTAAACTAACATAAAAACAAGATTACAACAGTCATGATTACAGAAGGTACATTTTGAAGACTCTAGGTCAGTAGGTGAATGTAAACAGGTAAACACACGTGGGACAGTCACCGCAAATATGAACCACAAAACGACTTATAACATTAAAATGTAAATATTCATCTGCACACAGATTTTGGCATAATAATAATAATTTTTAAAAAGTGTAAATTAAAATATAAAATAAACAAACCTCAAACCTTGTAACAAGGCTTGTTTCCCTACAATCTTATTCTGGTTCTCTGTCACTGAAATGCAGGGAACCAGGCTGCGTTATTAACTCGTACACAGATTTGTTGATACGAATAAACCTATAAACATATGGATACGAAATAAAATATTATCATAAAAAATGAAAAATTTCAAATTGCTTGAAAAATTATCTTTATGTAGTTTATAATAAATGGTTGTAATTGTTTATTAATTTCTATCTATCCATTAAAATTTGATACGTATATCAGCTTAATATGTATCCGTCTGAACAATTATTGTTATTACACTCCCTGTCACATCTTCATAGTTAAGCCTGTAAGCATGGTAAGTAGGAATCAATTTCAGTTGAAGGGGACCAAAACCAAACATTTTTCAGTTTCATTTGGTGGGGAGGGGGTGGGGGGGGGGGGGTATAAACCTCAAATGATCATTTTATCTCTGTCACTGAACTGCTGAAAATAATGAAGGGAACTAGGCTGCAAGAATGATTTGTTGACTGAATTAAAATACGAAATAAATTTTCATACATACGAAATAAAATAATTTCATGAAAAAATGAAGAATTTCCAATTGCTTGGGAAAAAAAGAAGCTTTTCATGTATGTGATTTACAATAAATGGTTGTACTTTTATATTTTCTATATATCCATTAAAATTTCACAGTATCAGTATTTCACTATTTGTAAACATTAACAATAATATTAAATAAATGTTACACTCACTGTGGCTTTGACTGAGTTACTGTCACATCTTCATAATTAAACGAGAATATTCCCTTCCGTAAATATTGCTATATATATCTGAACTGTTACCAATTAATCTTTCTTTGGTGAAAGAAAACCTCAGGGATGGAGAATAGGCCCGTACGTAATTTAGTTGGGGGGGGGGTGAACACAACCAAACAACATTTTTCAGTTTCAGGTTGGGGGAGGCTACAAACCAAAAATTTTTTAATAAGCAAAAGAAAAATACATTATCAGAGGTTATTATTGAGGGGGCCCAAAAGCAAAAGAAAAAGAGATCATCAGAGGTTATTATTGAGGGGGCCCAAGCATAAAGGAGCAATGTTTTCTATAGTATACCTAAATTTCAGCAAAATTACAGGGGGCCTGCCCCCCCCCCCCCCCCCGTTCCTTCAGCCATGTATTGTATCAAATCTGCTTCTCCCTGATTCAGATTTTTTTACGTCATATATATTCTATTAGCAGAGGACCACATTATATTAATAAACAATTATTAAATTACAGCTATTTTTTTCTTACAGGGTCTGTTTCATTTATACTATATCATGATGATCATGTCCTGCATGATGTTTACAGAAAGTTTAATTTAAATTTTTAAGCTCGAAATAGCTGCGTCAACTTGCGAGACTATTTTTTCAACGTTCGGCCTAATCTTTAAATATTTAATTTGTTTGTGGACTTGCATAAAAGAATTAAAAAAATATATCATTTAACTTTATTTCGAATTTCCTTCAGGATTTTATATACCGAACTATAGTCTAACGATTATTTAAAATCATACTTTTTCTCTTGAAAGCTAAATTACTAGGCAAAAAAAAAAAAAAAAAAAAAAAAAAAAAAAAAAAAAAAAAAAAAAAAAAAAAAACGAATGTTTGTCTTGTGTATTCTTAATTACAACTTATTATTGTATCATTTTAGTTACTTACCCAAATTTCTCAACATCCATGGTGTTCAGAGGTCATTTTCTGAAAATTGAAGGGGCATTCCGATGGCATTCGGAACAAATGACGGAAAGCACTTGCTAAGAATTCAAAACATGGTTCATAAATTTACAATATTTTTCCTTTTTAGGTTTTTAACATAAAATATGGAAAACTAAGTTAAAGAAACACTCATTTGAACAAATCAAAAGCGGAAAAAATATATATGCTAGATTTTTTGTTTAATTGCATGTTTTTCATGGTCTCCAAAATGCAGAAAAATTATCCTTTGAAATTATACGTAGGTTATAAATTCTTTTCTTTTTTAGGGAAGATGATAGAAATTAGACAACTTTTGAATGTTAAATAACAGAGTTAAAGATTAATAAAATTTAATGGCAGACTGTTTATTTATCTATAAAAAGACATTTGCAATACTGATGAGGTCAAAATAATAGGGAGACCGAAAAAGGTCGCCTTAATCCAGTGGTCTCCCTAAGCCAGAAAATATATCCTCCTTGGTCTCCTAAAGCCATATGTCATATATATATATATATATATATATATATATATATATATATATATATATATAACTCTGATTTAAGGACTAGGGAGACCAGACCATTATATATGGCTTAAGGGGACAATATACAGATTTTTTAAATTTGCTTTTTTCTAAAAAGAAATACCAGATCAAAGATCTATAGAACACCATTTAGTCGACTCTTGCTTTATTTTTTCATAATAAATGCCTCCTAAAAATATATGAAAAAAATGGTCTCCTTAATATTTTATGTTTCTCTCATATGACTTAAGGAGACCAGTGTATATTTTTTATAAATATAACTTGTGGTTTAAGTAGACCATTTTTCTTTCATAGTAATTTCACTTATTATGCATTAATTAACATATTGTTTCCAACCAGAATAGTTGCGGATGGTCATTAGTCAAGGTCAGCAGAAAGATATTTGTGCTAATGTGACTCAACATGATCAGTACAAAACTTTGAATTAAACTAAAGCCGTTGCACAAGTGACTTAAATAGAGAGTAGTTGCCCCAGTGGCGCAGTGGTTAGAGCGTCTGCTCTAGAGTAGCGAAGTAAGGAGTTGATCCTTACGTCGCAGGTTCAAATCCCACTGTGGGATGGGGAGACTGGTCCTTCAGATGAGACCGTATAAATCGAGGTCCTGTGTCGCAGTAGGTGCTGGCACGAAAAAAATCCCTCGATGCTCAATGGCCGTAAGTTCCGAGTATAGGACAAAATTTGCAGATCTCCACTGGCATGTGGTGGTGTCTCCATATGAGTGAAAAAATCTTGAGAGGAATGTTAAACAACATACAATCAATCAATATATAGAGAGTATAAGCCCAGAGTAGCTTGTTCTGATATCCACATTTAACTCTCAATGCTGTCGCCCACATGGTGCAGTGGAAAGAGCCTATGCTCTAGAGTCGTGGAGTTAGTTGATCCTTTTGTCACATGTTTGAATCCCACTGTGGGACGTAGAGACCAGTCCTTTGTACAAACAGAGGTCCAGTGTCGCAGTAGATGCTGGCATGAAAAAAATCCCTCACTGCCCATTGGCCCTGAGTGCCGAGCATAGGTCATTTGCAGCTCTCCATCGGCAAGTGTTGGCATATGAGTGAAAAATTCTCCAGAGGGACGTTAAACAACAAACAAACTCTCAATGCCCAAAACAGTTTAACCTAAAAGTGAATGCAGACACAGATTATTCTTTAGACCAAGTATAGTATACTCCATATTGTTTTGTTGAGGACACAAAGTTCACAGTGAACATCAAGTAGTTTTTCCTGCTTTTTATACCCAGCTTCTTTTAAACCATATAGTCACCGAGTGCATTCGCTTTCCAACTAATTGATGAAGTTCTGACCTATGCCTATATTTGTTTAAATTCTTTCCGATTTAAGAATACATTTGACCTGTTGAAACCAAGAGTACATGTACTACATAAAATTTCAAGGTTGTGATTAAGATTCAGTAAAAGTTATGCCCCATCCAGTATAGCAATATGTGGATGCCATGTTCAATATACCCGGTACATATTTGCTATTATTAAACTTGCAGAGACCATGAATCAAAATAATTCAAATACTTAAAAATCATTTTATTTTTACTGCTAGTCAAAATACAGTCACTCAAGCATATCCTTCGTTAATTTGAAAAAAAAAATGATAGTTTAACATTTATTATTAATACCATACCAAAGCACAAGATAGTGCACTTCTTACATAATCCAATGATTCATGCTGTGATTTTACCTATTTAGATGTTTCTTATTTACAGTTCAGTATACATGATATACCAGTACAATGTGACACTAACCTAGTATCAATTAAATGGATCATTACTATTCTGTTTTTGAGAAGTTTGCAGGGTAAAAAGTATAATAAAATAAAAATGTTGATACATTTATTGATTGCATATGCTAAAACCTTTTATAAAATATCAAACATTGTATCATAACAGCTTTTACAAATTAATTCAATACATTCAAAGGTACAAAAATCAAATTATTTTCATCCACAGTTTTATCATATTCAGTTGAACAACAGCTACATCTATTATATAAAATGTATGGTAGTTGGCACTGATGGTATATATACAGACCTGTCTACCCTTTTCATTGCGAGGGTGTAATTTCAAGACTCAATTAAGTGGAATTTATGAGGTAAAGGCGTAATCCTTTATGTTTCCCTACTTTGATGTTTTGCAAAGCTACTATATTGTCTGAATCAACCTGAAATTGTACATCATTGAACAAAGCAAGCATGAATGTTTCTTTTTCAAATCATTTATAGACAAAAAGTCCCTTTGTTGTAAAAACTGGTATCGTAATTGCAGTCAAATCAAACTTATTTATCTAACATTCCTAATGAACGTTTGGAAAAAAATTAGCAAATCACATAATTCAGAGTTTCAATCGCATATTAATACAAATTCTACATTATTCCGCTATTTCGATTTTGTTTTTCTTACATTTACTTGTCTCTATGTTGTTCTTAGCAATGTAAGAATAAACCGAATTGAAAATTAAACTGACTTTACTTATTGCACACATCATTCAAAAGTTTTGTTTCCTTAATTTTGGCATGCAACCCGTTTAAAAGGCATAACTACAACGTGTATTACGTATGTTGTTTGTATCATAAATAATCATATCGTGAAGAACCGAAACCCTCCATTAATTAGTATTAATTACCTTCTCGTTTTCATTAAGGAAAGCCTTTACTTTAACTCCAAAGTTAGCCTTTCATTAAGTTGTTTATGAAAAAATATTTAAAAAGCGTAAAATTAGTTTTCATGGCGTAACAGAGTAATTTTGTGGTAAAAAGCGGAAAAATTACGCCAAAAGCGGAAGGGTAGGCAGGTCTGTATATATCCTGAGCAAAGAAAAAACATACCTAATCAAAGAATACAAAGCTCACTTCTATAAATGTTATCTACTAGTAAGGCAAAGTCTCACTTAACAAACACTCTGGTAATGTATATCACCTGGATCCAAAATCTATGCAAGTTGGTCTGGGTTAGATTTAACTGCTCAATAACCCTGAAAATGTATGTTACATCCAGCATCAGAAGCAGGATACATCATCTATGTTTACTGATCACCAAAGAGTATATTGTTACTTTGAATGAACCTTCTCTAAAAAACTGGTCATTAATCCAGAATATCTAAGTCAAATCAAGGATTGGTACCCTGAAACATTTACATGTACATACATCATCTTTGCAGGTTTGTTCAACATAGAGTTTATAATTACATGAGAATAGGACTGCTCAAAACACTTAATCTTGTGGAGTCCCCCATGTGGCGCAAAGGATAGAGTTTGTAATCTAGAGTCGCGAGTAAGGATTTAATCCTTAAGTCTCAGGTTCAAATCCACTGGGGATGTGGGGACCAGTCCTTCAGATTAGACCATATAAACCGAGGTCCCGCCTAGCAGTTGATGTGGGCACAAAAAAGATCCCTTACTGCTCAAGGCCCTGAGTGCAAAGTATAGGTCAAATTTTGCAGCTCTCCACCAGCAAGTAGTGGCATCTCCATATGGATGAAAAATTCTTGAGAGGGATGTTAAACAACAAACAAACAAAAACAAAAAAAACACATGAGGAAAATGTAGATCAGGTCAAGCATCTGAAGTAAATCTGTTAATGTGCTTTAATCCATGCAAGTTTGTCCAGGTAGAGCTTAGGAATGAACCTTGCTCCTTAAATTTTAACTGGGATGACAATGCTAGGTATATAGTGAGAACTCATCTAGACTGTCCAGAAAATCTAAAAAATATTTAACAATTTCTTACTTGCATGATTTAAAAAAATCTGCAATCTAACATTATTTCAAAAAAAAATTTCAACACATTTTCTAATTTTCAACAAATTCAATGCACTATGAGACGATTTAACATTTCTTAACCACATACACTGTACTTAAAGTGCAATATACATGCATTATACTGTATGTTAAATCTTTACAGTTTTCTTCAAGTACTCTAATAGTATATGAAATATGAAGATTACCAACAGTGATCAAGCTTTAAAGTCCATTGAAACAATACATAATTAGAGCAGAGCAAACAGACTCTAAAAAAACCAGGTGCAATGGAGGAGAAAGCATTTCCTGCCATGTGCTCCTTGACATGATTGGGCAAATGGAAAAATCCACAAACAATTCAGTGTAAACAATTTTGATGAAAAACATTAGTCAACATTCAACTTAATGATCGATTGAATTTGCTATAACAATTAATTTACACGTAAGTGTACACACATGTATGCATACTAGATGAATTATTTCACAATATCCAAAATTGGACAATAATAGTTTCTAATCTAGCTAGACAACAGGAAATTTTCATTATTACTTAAATTACATGAAACTATTGAAGTCTATGAGATACAAATTATATCTAAAAATTATACACATTTTAACAAGTGTTTACAGTTTAGTGTATTTATGATACACAAATGATGACTTAGTAATTATGACTTACTAGTAAAGTCCACAGATTGACTTCCAGATTTCAGCTCAAAGGCTTGAAGATTTTTAGTGGCTCTTTCATCATTTTTTTTTTTCACTGAATATTTTCATTTTTATTTTCAAGACGCTGTTTTTGTTGAGGTCTTTTAGCAGTTTGATGCAATCCAAGAACTCCAAGGGCAATTTAAGAACTCCTGAATTTCTTTCTTACCTGGAAAAAATAAAAATTTAAAAGTTTAAAATATATTCAACTTACATGAAGAAAACTAGTAAAACTAGTGATAATGTAATAGACCTTTCAGATGTTCCAAAGCAGCTACATGTATCTAATTAAAAAATATAAAGTTTGAAGTATTTAGAGTCACCTGTATTCTGAACAAGCATAAGGGATATGTGTATTTGAAAGACAGATGAATGAATAGACTGATCACTATAGAGCACCTTAGTCTTTTTTCAATAATCTTTATATTAGTGAAAATCAAATAGGAACTAGAGTGTTTCAAGGAATGTATATGTCACCTGCTAGGTATCGTCATTAAAGAGGTAAATAAATCTAAGAGTGGTCAGCTATTAATTTAATATTAGCATGGAGGTTCAAGCATTTGCCTGCAAGGAAAAAAAGGACCCAAAAGTATTTAAAAGACTGGGATAGAATCTGGCAATCAGAGAAAATATGGTTCCCCAGTCCTCAAATGAATAATTTAATTAAAATTATGAGGAATAACTATTTATCATTTTATTAATACACATGTAGGTGCTTCCAACAATCCTCGGAGGAAAGGAATTTCAGACTGTCTTTACTTTAATTGTCACTTTGTCAGTCAACACGATTCATTGTGGAATACTGATCCCAATGTATTTTCATAGTATTTAAATATAAGTTTGTGTGGTAACTGAATTTCATACAGTTTCAAAGTATAGTATCATGAGCTCAAAAACATATATAAATGCTAATTATCAAAACCCTGCCTCTCAAAATTTTGGAGATATAAGGTGTGACAGACGGACAGACAGACACCAGGTAAAGTGATCTCTAAGTGTCGTTCTGCTCTGCAGTTGACACAAAAATGAAAGTTAGTCAATTTTTGACCATGTATATCACTTCAGTGATGAAAGGAATGCTGAAGTGGTAAGTCTATCCTAATTATTTGAAAATACGGCAACCCCATTGGTCAGAATATAATACATATGCTGTCCAGCCTTAATTTCATTGGCATAAAGCAGCACAAAATACGATTTAATTGGATGGTGCAACTTGTTTTTCTAGGGGGCGCTGTTGCAACCCTGGAAAAGAAAACAGGACTGGGGCTTGCCCCTAGGGGGCACTTACTGACCGGAAGTAAACAAACAACAGAAATAGCAATACACTAGAAATATGTCCATAGGACATGTATGCCCGCCGAGTGTATAGTAATGCAACATGAAATTTTGTGTTAGTGTATGAAGTTTGATGAGAATATCTTGAAAAGTTTCTTTAAAATTGAAATTGAGATCTAAAAAAAATGGATATAAATGATAAATTCTCACCAAATTATGTATAGATGCATAGCCTTAGATATCAATATTTTAAATGGTTTTAAAACCATGCAAAATGCAAATTGAAGGAAAGTGAGGTCAAGGTCACAGGAAAGGTCAAAAGTTTTTGAAATAGTTGAATAGGTCTTACTAATTATATATGTATCAGCATATTAAGTTTGATAAAGAATATCTTGAATGATTTCTTTAAAACTGAGCTAGTCACAAGCGTGGCGCCATGGTTAGAGCGTCTGCTCTAGAGTCGCGAAGTAAGGAGTTGATCCTTATGTCGCAGGTTTGAATCCCACTGTGGGACATGGAGACCAGTCCTTCGGATGAGACCTTATAAACCAAGGTCCCATGTCACAGTAGGTGCTGGCATGAAAAAGACCCCTCACTGCTCCATGGCCATGAGTTCAGAGTATAGGACAGAATTTGCAGCTTTCCACTGGCAAGTGGTGGCGTCTCCATATGAGTGTAAAATTCTCAAGAGGGACTGCAGATTACCTGTAATGATTAACCAAAATCCCTACTAGGCTTTAAACTCTTCATTCTTGACCTGTATTTTGTCAAATAAGATTTTTCCAGTTAATTAAGGTAAAATTACTAATTGTTAAAACTGTAAATGATTTTTTTTTTTTTTTTTTTTTTTACCTGAGCCAGATTTTTACTTTTCTTAGAAGTGTCTGTATTTGACTGTTGGTTCCACCTATCTCAAGAAAATGATCTGTAAAAGTAAATGTTAGAAATCATAATCTGTTCTCTATCTACTATAATCATGAGAAAAGGTGTTGAAAATTAACAGATGGAGATAAAATCAGCAGTCATATTAAAGGCTTTTTTTCAATAATCAATTTATTAGTGAAAATCATAAAAGTATTAGGCAAAAAGGAAAAATAAATGTTGTCATTAATTAACCTTGCATATCTCTACAATTTTCTGATAAGAAAATTATACCCGATAGATGCAATATAATCACCCTTTGCCTGCCCCTAAATTATGATTATTTAAAACAAGGTTCTTTTAGAGGTGCCTAGGGTCGAAATTCATAGAAAAAAACCTACAAAAAACGTGAAAACCTATTTCTATCATACTGGTTTATATTTATTACAAATGTCCTCATAGTCAGCATAGCCCAGAACAATAGACCGCAGACTCTCACCATGAACATTTTTAGTGTCCTGGTTCAAAACCATTTGTTGGCACATTTTTATTTTTTCAAACTTTTTACCTGTATAAACACTAAAGAACGAGTGCACTTATGGGCCCCGGTAAATTAAATTAAGCATAATTTTCCATCTCAGATCATTAATTGATATCTAAACCATAAGATTCAACAAATTTTGAATATACAAAGAGCAAAGCCATACAATGTGGTAGGGGTCAGCCGACATTCGTGATTTTCTATAGTAAATCGAGGATGGTCATTCATTTCAAAGCTTTTGTTTATTGTCAGCCTAACACTGTACAAACTTGTGCGATTGACAAAAAATGCATTATACATTTATAAAACTTGTGTGAAAGTAGGAAATTTGTACATGATTAGGCTTGTACTTAAAATATTAAAAATGTATGAAAAGTTCAATGTTTTTCCTATAACAAGCAAGAGCTATTTACCTGTATGACCTATGTTGAACCCACCCGTGGAATAAATTATTTAAAATACTGGTAGTCACGTGAGTTCTACCCCGGTAAACATTCCTCAAAGATGCTCACTGTAAAACATTACCACATTTTGTATCATTATATCGAAGTCAAGCCGCATAGAGAAGTTTGTATGTATTTGGTTTTAGGAACACGGGATGGTTAGGAGAGTTTAGTGTCGTTAAAATGTCATCATAAATAAAAGTGTCAACCATTTTAACATTCATGCAAGACAATGGTACTGGTATTGAAAGCCACCTAAATACACTTTTTTTCATTTTAAAATTTAAAGGAACTAATGTTAATACTTATTGTATTATTTCAAATGCAAGCATGCAAATTTCTTAGTTTGATCACTATGGATACAGGTATCTATACAACTTCATTCGATTTTTTTCTCGGGTAAAATAGCACAAGAAGTATCATTCGGCATACGCGCCTGTCAATGATCCACCATCAGATTGTTCAAGTGTCTGATTTAAATGTCTCCTCCCCTTGATTTAAATATACGAAACTCAAAATAGGTTCGGTACGACTTTTCCGGATTTGGGGTATCTATAGACATTTAAAAAACTTCATTTGTTTCAAATCCATGCTGATTTAGGTGATGTTTTAATGTGATTTTAATTAGAAATGTCCACTTGTGTTTAACTATTACCAAAAGAGAACAATTTGGTAATACATTCTAAAGTAATATGGCACTGAAAAAGGACCCATTAAGCATTGCTTAAGTGCACTTGTCCTTTGATTTTTTAATACAGGCTTTTGCATTTTACTTAATATATTTTCTTCCTTAAATGCATGTTTGGTGTTGATATAAAAGACATCTATGGAAATGCAGATCATAAATTCTCTTTAACTAAACGCAATCAACCAGAACTAAACCTCATTGTAAGCACACTTTGTTCGAGGACATGAATCATTCACTTTGTGTTACTCGATACTGCAGGTGTCATGAAAAAAAATCATGCCGAGCAATAATTGCTGTGTTTGCTTTTCAAGAACATTATGACATGTAATAGTACTGTTGTGCCAGTGGGAGAGATACTGTTCTATGTAGAGTAGATGCAGTTCATTCCTCGGGAAAAATGTGTGCATTGGCGATATGTTATGCTAAAAATGCATGAGGGTTTTCAGATTAGAAAAGAATGTGGTAAGGTCAGTTAAGGTTTTATGTCCCATTGCCATTACTCAGTCAGACATCAAGAATGACCCTCAAACAAAGGATGTATCATTCTGTAAATACTGAGGTAGGATCACATGAACACACAGTTGAGTAGAATGAAATATATCGAGATAACAATCAGTATTCAAGCTCAAAAGCCCATCAAAAAATACAAAATAGGAGCAGAGCAAATACGGACCTCCAAAACATCAGAGGTGGGATCAGGTGCCATGGAGGAGTGAGCATCCCCTGCAGACTAGTCACACCCGCTGTGTGCTCCTTGTCACGACTGGGAAACAATAGAAAATTCCATACACAATTCAGTGTGTAAATAATGGCCTAACAATAAGTATGAAAAACGTCAGTCAGCATTTTACTTAATGATAAATTGTATTTGCTGACAAGGTCATTGTATCGACCATAGAACTTACAAAATGATGACTTTAAACAAGACTGCTGACATTCTTGTTTCAGCAATTTGTTTGTCAATAACTTACCTCCTTTTAAAAATTGTTCATACATAGAGGATGCTCTTGCGTATCGAATCAACTGAGAGATATAAACCCCGTATGCAGGTGATGAAGGTATATTGCTGAATAAGTAAGGGAAGTTGATGATTGAAAAGTTAAAGTCATCACGTTTATCATAAAGCTTGGTTGTTAGATTACCATTAATGTAGAACTAAAGCAATACATGAGAAACAAGAAACTACACACGTGACCTAAAGTCAGTGACCGGAACATATATCGGTAAGCTTTTTCTAAAGACTGAACCAATATTGGTCCTATAGGTCATCTCATATTTTTAACTAGAAGTGTTCCTTTGATATACTATATTTTACTTATAATAATTTCTATAGACTTACTATACCCTGAAAAAAAAAGTTAAACAGGAACTACCTGTTTAAATGACCCCGACCACCGAGGTTAATCTAAAGTTTGTCCCTGCCTACCTGAAAAACAGACTGCCTCGGGCAGTCAGTAATTTCCAACTCTGGTTATGAGATGCTAAATGTTAAATATTTACAATTAAATGCTTATATTTACATTTTTAAATTCATCATAGATTGAGAAAGTCGATAAAATCATTTCTATATTAAGTCTGTATACTGTATAGGGGGAAAATAACTCGCGGTGTTAATATTCACTATATTCACGGTGTGAATAAATCCGTGAATTCAAGAAACAGTGAATAAGTTTTCAATAACCTACATGTTATATTTGGAAATTTGAGAATAGACTACGATAGGTAAATATACGTGCAGTACATGGTCATTTCAGTAATTACGAATCGTACTTGTCATTCAATTATTTTAATTATCACGCTTAACATTAATTTAGATCACCCAGCAGATAATAACCTGTATTTGTAAAAAAAAAAAAAAACTGTTTTAATAGCCAACGCTACATGTTTCATCAATCAAAACACTAAGGTCATGGGTTTTGAATACCCGTACGTAACTATGTTACGACGTGTATTTGTTACCTGCATTATCATGTTTTTGTCGACATTTTGGTTTTATAAAATCATTCAAATAACTATCGAACTTGCTGATGTATATATAAATCTACCCTGTTGTTCGTGAAGTGAATACATAACGCTGATTAATGCCTTCTAGCTATGCTATGGATTACCGTAAGTTTTGGAAGATAAGACGATACTTTTTTTCTCAGAACCGCTGGGGTCGTCCTATTTAACGAATCGTCCTATCTAAGGCTCAAGTTTACGAAAAATGCCCCCAAATCAGTAAAATTAACGTCAATTTTAAAGGAAATCTGTGCCATTTTTGTATTTTTTAAAATTATTTTCCCGAAAAAAAAATAAACAAAGAATTAATTAATTATTTATTTCATTGATTTCTTACAAAATAAGTTCCATTAAATATCCGTCGATGTACAAAAAACTTATAATATCATCTAGTAAATAATGTCTCAACGTAGATTTACAAAATGTTGTGTCCATCTTGTGAAGTTGGAAGTCGCAATCGTTTACTAAAAATAAAACCGCAACCGTATCAAAGTTTAAAATACGGAAGAGTTTTTCACAATCGCAATTGTAATCTTTTTTTCTTTTTTTTACCATTTATTTGTAACGAATAATTGAAATAGTATACCTAAATATTTTTTCATTGTCTTGTGATATTTATTTACGAGTAAATGTAAAATGCGTGAAATAAATTGTTGCCAGTAAATTCCTAAAATTATTTACTAAATACACCGCTAGTCATAACTATTTTGTTTTATATCCCAAGGGGTACACTGAATTATACAAAGATTGGCTTCTAATATAATTTTCATCGTCTGACAGATAAATGGATATACACTGTGTACACAAAGGTGTTAACACCTGTGTTGGTTTAAACACCCGAAGGGCATGATTAACAGATCCACGTGCCGTTACAGGGGTATTAATACATCATCGAACAAACAAAACAGTGAAATTCATGATGACTGTTAAATTGCGAATGTACTCTCAATTAAATTTATTTTTTACAACAACATCTCAAGCAAAATTAAAGCATGATAATATGATTAATTTCAATTGCTCACAGTTATATGTAATAGTCAATTGCGTGTTTTAGCAAATCCCTGGACAAGAAATATAAAAATGGCGGTCTTCGAAGTTAATATTGTACCCCGGTAAATAATGTCGGAATAAAAGAATGTGTTCACGATGTTCTAAAATGGAAATAATTATTGTTTGATTTCGGGTATTTCCCTAATTATAGCTGTTGTATACTACCGTATTTATGTGTTTAACGACAGAGTGAAACTACGACGACATTTAACAGGCAAGTTGGAGAAAATACGTTACATCACAATTCAACGAAGTTTTAGGTATGTTTGTATAAAACACTATTAAAATGCTGTACTCATAAAAATACCAGTTTATTTTATCAATACGTTAATATCACGGGTTAAGTTAAAGAGGCTTACATGTTCTGATACGTAGTATCTACGTAAGAATCTCTAGAAAATCGATATACAAAGCCTCGTCTTATCTTCTGAGTTCGTCCTATCTAAGGATTTTTTAAAAATTACGGCTGAAAATGAGCCTTTCGACCTATATATCCCATCGACATATACCCCAAAACTTACGGTAAATGGATATAGACATTGAAGGGAGGTACATGTAACCTTAGTTATATACCAATTCCGCGAATTCAACAAACCGCGATCGTGTCAGAGGAGAGAAAAACATGAAAATTACAACCCCTGAAATTAATTCCCTATACAGTACTTCAACCGAGAAATTAGTTGAAACTGGTTCCAGAAAAGAAGCTGAAAATGTTCAATAGTTTACAGACAATACTTGACACATGATGACTGAACAAGAACAGATAGCAATAAGTAATTTAAATGACTCAGGTGAATTATAACCTGTTCAATCTTAGATCCATCTTTTTTCTAACACGAGGGTTGATCCAAAAGTTCATGGAATTTAATTATTTCTAAAATTTTATTGTGATTTGATGAAAGCAAACAATAGGCATATTTATAATATAGAGTCATTATGCAACAATACTGGAAAATTTCACTACGTTCCAATTACCAATAAGGTCACATGAGCTTTCTGAACACTGATAGTTGTAAAATCCGGGGGAGACTTCGACGTAACGTCAAGTTAAGTATGTCATGTCATGTTATAGGAGCATCTCACCCTCATGTTCAATTCAACTAAGTAATTCTACAGAATATTCTGCCTTTTTCTCCTTTTTTCTCTCAAGAAAAGCCTGGGTATCCACCAATCGACTTATCTTTATATTACATTCATATTTCAAAAATACTCCCCATCTTTCCATATGATGTTCCAATTCAGTAGCAAAGTCAAGCACAGTACGTCAGCGGTCAACATCCATCAACGCTTAATTTGTCTACGAGAAAAACAGACCCTCCAAAAGCAGCCACACCATAGAAGTTCTATTGTTCTTAAATTTCTCACGCCACTGGAAAATCAGTTGCTAAATGCATTTTTCCCCAGCCTGTATCAGTAGTATACCCCTTTAAGTCAGAGTGTTCCTAAGATTTTAACAAAACTTATAACTTGACTGAAATGTGATGTTCTCTAACAATTAAAAGATGAACAAGAAATCATCAACTAATAATCTAAATATCAAGTTAAATCAGTAAAACTCTCACATACAGGTATATTAGTGGTCAAGCAATCGTAATTATGACAAAATTCTCATTTTATTTGCCACTTGGCGCAGGTTTTTTCTTATATCACGTATTAAGAATTAAAATGATAATGAACAAGTAAATGTCTCCCCTGCATTTTAAAACATCCTTTGCTATGGCAACTGCCATAGAGTTACTATCATTAAAATTTAAAATATTTTTTTATCAAAAAAATTCAACAAGTGTCTATATTCTTATTTGTAATTTTCAACCACTTTCACAAATAAATAAATAAAATAAGAAGAAATTCCATGAACTTTCGGATCAATCCTCGTACATGTCAGTCATTAAATTTATATAATATACAGTATGCATAAGGGAGACCAAATGTATTATTACTGCATTAAGGAGACCAACTACTCTCCACATGTAAATCAGTATTCAACCGCTTTCACTAAATAAATAAATAAAAAAAAATATGAAGAAATTAGTGATGAGACATCAGTTAATTTTCATAATCGATCATCGGTTGGAATCGGTTACTGCTTCTGATGCGATTTCACCGATTATAATTGGATTTCTTCATAGTTTTGTATACAAAAAGCAGACTATTACAATAATTTTATTTATTTCTTTAACATGAATATATAAAATACATAATATATTATTTTCTTTGTTGTTTTGCTTCTTTTACACTTTCTAGACCTAAAAATATTTACAGTGGACACCCAACATGGCTGCCTAGCGGCAGAAAACGAACTTCAAAAAGTCGTGTGGGGAATTGATCACTCTATATTTAAGGTAAATGTTGACTAAGTTGCATATTTTATATCTCAAAGAAAAGACACAATTAATATTTTTTGAATAAAAAGAATCAGCTGATTGATCAAACCAAAGAGCAAACACAGATTTGGCAGAAAAAAAAATTCACCCGGGGGTAAATTGAATGGGTCGGTCGGGTTATTACAGGAAACAAAAATAATTTTTTTTAGGCCCTATATATGCATCTTCGGTTCTTAATCACCTCTGCTTCGTGCTAGTTGGCTAGTATCAGATGCAGATGCCATTTTCTTTCGTTAAGAAGAAATAAATTTTAAACCAGAAATGGATAATTCCGGAATGTATTGTATTAGAAGTATGTTTCCGATGATCGATTATGAAAAACTATAATCGATCATCGGAATCGGTAGCATTTTTTTGTCGACAATCGATGTTTTCTGATTATCGGTACAACACTAGAAGAAATTCCACGAACTTTTGGATCAATCCTCGTACATGTCAGTCATTAAATTTATATAATATACAGTATGCATAAGGGAGACCAAATGTATTATTACTGCATTAAGGAGACCAACTACTATCCACATGTAAATCAGTATTCAACCACTTTCACTAATAAATAAATAAAATATGAAGAAATTCCATGAACTTTTGGATCAACCCTCGTACATGTCAGTCATTAAATTTATATAATATACAGTATGCATAAGGGAGACCAAATGTATTATTACTGCATTAAGGAGACCAACTACTCTCGATCCACATGTAAATCAGTATTCAAAACTTGAGATTTTAATACCCTAATAATTTACATGTTTAGTTACATGAACTTAATCTATTTACCTTTGTCATAATGCAAGAACTGTTTTACATTCAGCCAACTTTAACATTACACATGCATACAGTGTATGCCATGCATTAGGAAGACCAGATGCATTATTTCAACATTAAAGAAACCAACTACAATGGAACAATTAGACAGTATTCCAAAATGTTCATTCCAATACCATGGTATTTTCCCTTAATTTGTTTGTATTTAGATGACTTAAATCAATTTATCTCAGCCAGAATTGGAACAAAAAAACTAATCATAAAAGTGGCCAAACACATGAACAGACAGATGGACATGATGATTCCTATGCTTATATACACCCAAAGTTGCCAAAGTAGAGCAGATGCAGTGGTTAGAGCATCTACTCTAGAGTCGCGGAGAAAGAAGCTGATTCTTACATCGCGAGTTTGAATCCCACTGTGGGACATGGAGACCCGTTCTTCAGATGAGACAGAGGTATTAACCGAGGTCCCATGTCACAGTAGGTGCTGGCTCGATAAAGATCCCTCAATGCTCAATGGCCATAAGTGCTGAGTATAGGACAAAAATTTGCAGCTCTCCACCGACAAGTGGTGGCGTCTCCATATGAGTGAAAATTCTCAAGAGGGATGTTAAACAACAAACACTATACACCCAAAACTTTGTTTGCAGAAGATTTTGTGATACATGCTTTACAAGTATACATATTGTTCATAAGGGAATAAAAATGCTATAATATATCATTAAGGAAAGCAACTGAACTTAAATGTGCACTTCAAATTGAACTAAACAAAATTACCCTTTGTCAGAATGTAGATTTATAAACAGGAAGGCTGTTTTTCTTAATTTTTTTCATGTCAGATTCAGACTGTTCTTGAAAAAATTCTGGCATACACCCTGTAAAAGTGAACAGTGCAGATAATAAAGAGCTTCTAAATAAACTGCATAATATTTAAATGATCCACTTAAAAGGGATAACAAATGCATTTAACTCCATCAAGGAGACCAACTGATATCCATATATATATAAATCAGTACATGTATTTTAATTGTGATATTTTAATATCCTAGTAATTTACATGTTTAGTTTCATGAAATAAATCTATTTACCTTTGTCCAATGACCAATGAGCACAAGCACTGATTTTTCCTCTTTTTTCTTAACGGAATCACCAGGGCCAGTCTGCGGTCCATATGATTCTGGCATATGTACACTCTGTAAAATGCATATTTGTACCATGTACAGGCATATGAACAATATTTCTATACTACATACATGCATCATTAAACTTAATAATCTTTTTTTCCCAAAATTCATTATTCATAGTGTTTTGCTGTTAGCAAAATTCAACAAAAACTATACCGTATATATACTTGCCTATAAGGTGGTCCACCTATAAGTCAGTTGTATTTTTTGAGGTTATTTTGGAGGGATTTGCTATTGACCCGCTTATAAATCAGTACAACTTTTTGCCAGAATCAATTGACAATTTCAAATCAATGCTCTGATGTTTTAACCTGGTTTCAAAATACTAATCTTTTTATGACTCACCTATAAGCTGGACATAGAGTATATACAGTACCTGCATTATACATGCATTAGGAAGACCAAATGCATTATTGCAATATTAAAGAGACCATTGTGGCAAATGAAATCAATGTATGAATTGTATTCAAAACTACGGGTGTACTAATTTGTCTGAAGTATATCATGATATAATGTGATACACAAAGACTTTAACAGGATATGTACATATACCCACATGCCCAAATGTAACAACAGGAATTATTGTTCTACAATAATTTACTGAAATTGCCAATATGAATAAACAAAAGCAAACTTTGTTTCGATTGTATGAACTTTAAGTTTTCTTTTTACACCACGGTCAGATAATCTAACTATCCCCTGGTTGGCTACTGGGTCCTTCGTTAGATTGCCTTATTGGACATGATATTTACTGAAGATTTGATTTTTGGTACTGACTTTTATACTCAAAATAATGTCTTTAATTGTTTAATTTCTTGAGTTCAATATCACTTTGATGTGTTCAGTGTTTACTTTGATATGTAATGATGTGTATAAGCGTGTATTTTCGATAATTTAAATTTCTAGTACAGTAATCGTCCCCAAGCTGCTGTTTCATTATCGTGTCATAGTATCTCTGAGAGTGCATTTTATTAACACCTCCAAATCACCTGGCCTGCGTAATTAAATTTAACTACCAAAAACAACAGCTTGGGACTAATAAGGTGTGATTATCAGCAATGGTCCCATGAAGCCTGTGCTAGACCTAATGGAAATGTTCAACAGACCGTAAAATTAGCATAATGGGATTATTGTGTACTAAGGTGTGAAATCAGCGGAATGAGAATTTGTTGGACTTCGAGATAACGCATGTGTTTATAGCACTTGGGACCGTAAATCTACTTCGAGATAAGCGAGGTATTCGAGATTTCCGTGTTCGAGATACCGGGGTTTTTTAAAATCATAAATATAATAAAAACGGCCGGGACCGTTGATTCACTTCGAGATATCCGTGGTATTCGACATACCGGTGTTCGAGATACCGAAGTTTACCTGTATATCGATACATATCTAGATTAATGAATATATCGTATCAAAAACAAGAAGCCCATGGGCCACAATGCTCACCTGAGCACATTGGCTAGGAAAAAGCACAAATCACTTCAGTATTGAAAAGTTTAAAGGGGAAGGGGCTTGGATTTTGAACTACCTGAGGATGCTTCCATATCAATATAACAAATGGCTTTACTGTTCTTGAGCAGAAGATTTTTTAAGATTTTTTTCCTATATATTCCCTTTTTAAAAATTTGATCCCCCATTGTGGACCCTCCCTAACACCCCCCCCCCCCCAATCATTTGAACAAACTTGAATCTACACTACCTGAGGATGCTTCCATATCAATATGACTAAGCATGGCTTTTCTGTTGATGAAAAGATTTTTTCCTATATATTCCTATGTAAAAATTTGATCCCACATTGTGGCCCCACCCTACCCCTGGGGTTTATGATTTGAACAAACTTGAATCTACACTACCTGAAGATGCTTCCATATCAATATGACAAAACATGGCTTTGCTATTCCTGAGAAGAAGATTTTTCAAGTTTTTTTCCCTATATATTCCTATGGAAAACTATGATCCCCCATTGTGGCCCCACCCTACCCCCAGGGGTCATGATTTGAAGGAACTTGAATCTACACTACCTGAGGAAGCTTCCATATCAATATGACAAAACATGGCTTTGCTGTTCCTGAGAAGAAGATTTTTCAAGATTTTTTCCCCTATATATTCTTATGTAAAACTATGATCCCCCATTGTGGCCCCACCCTACCCCCAGGGGTCATGATTTGAAAAAACTTGAATCTACACTACCTGAGAAAGCTTCCATATCAGTATGACAAGACATGACTTTGCTGTTCTTGAGAAGAAGATTTTTGAAGTTTTTTCCTATGTATTCCTATGTAAAACTTTGATCCTCAAATGTGGCACCACCCTAACCCTGAGGGTCATGATTTGAACAAAGTTAAATCTACACTATCTGAGAATGCTTCCATATCAATATGACTTAACAAGGCTTTGCTGTTCTTGAGAAGAAGATTTATCAATTTTTTTTTTCTGTATATTCCTATGTAAAACTTTGATTGCCCCTTGTGGCCCCACCCTACCCCGAGGGGTCATGATTTGATACAAACTTGAATCTTCACTACCTGAGGATGAATCCACATCAATATGACTAATTGTGACTTTGTTGTTCTTGAGAAGAAGATTTTTCAAGATTTTTTTCTACATATTTCTATGTAAAATTTTGATCCACCCATTGTGGCCCCACCCTACCCCTGGGGGTCATGATTTGTACAAAATTTAATCTACACTACCTGAGAATGATTCCATATCAATATGACTAATTGTGGCTTTGTTGTTCTTGAGAGAAAGGTTTTTAAAGATTTTTTTTCTATAAATTCCTATGTAAAATATTGATCCCCCATTGTGCCCCCCCCCCCCCCCCCCCGCCCGGGGGTCATGATTTTGTACAAACTTGAATCTACACTACCTGAGGATGCTTCCATATAAATTATGACTTATTGTGGCTTTGTTGTATTTTTAGAAAAACAATTTCAAGATTTGTCCTACATATTTCTATGTAAAACTTTGATCCCCCATTGTGGCCCCACCCGACCCCTGGGGGTCATGATTTGAACAAACTTGAATCTGCACTATCTGAGGATAATTCCATATCAATATGCCTAATTGTGGCTTTGTTGTTCTTGAGAAAAAGATTTTTAAAGATTTTTTCTATATATTCCTATGTAAAACTTTGATCCCCCCTTGTGGCCCCATCCTACCCCTGGGGGTCATGATTTGAACAAACTTGAATCTACACTACCTGAGGATGATTCCATATCAATATGACTAATCATGGCTTTGTTGTTCTTGAGGAGAAGATTTTTAAAGATTTATTCCTATATATTCCTATGTAAAACTTTGATCCCCCATTGTGGCTCCACCCTACCCCAGGGGGTCATGATTTGAACAAATTTGAATCTACACTATGTAATGAAGGTCTCACCTAAGTTTCAACTTTTACAGCCCAGTGGTTCTTGAGAAGATTTTTAAAAGATACCACTAAATTTTCACTAATTCTTAATTATCTCCCCTTGAAAGAGGGTGTGGCCCTTCATTTGAACAAACTTGAATCCCCTTTACCCAAGGATGCTTTTTGGCAAGTTTGGTTGAAATTGGCCCAGTGGTTCTTGAGAAGAAGATGAAAATGTGAAAAGTTTACAACAACAACAACAATGACAAAGACGACAACGACGACAGACAACGGACAAATTTTGATCAGAAAAGCTCACATGAGCCTTTGGCTCAGGTGAGCTAAAAATAACTTATGGGCAGGCAGTTTTTTTATGTAATTGTGTGAAAAACTTGGGAATTTCAATCACCAAAGATTATATTTACCGGTAACTGTTTTGAATTAAAACTGATCAAAAATGACATAATCATTAAGGATGTAGCACATCTTAAATGATTATTACAAAATCATAAAAATACATAGACAACTTTACTTAACATGTTGATTTTACAGTCAAGAAAAGTTTGAATTTGAAGTGTAATTTTTAAAGACGGTGAGACAAAAAATTAAAAATGAGTAAAAAACAATTATTATTTTTATAAAATTCATGCATAATGATTTATAAGACTTTTTTGACAGAATTGTTAAAGAATTCAATATATTGCATATCGCATTAAAAAATGTCTTTCTTTTTTTTTTTTTTTTTTTTTTTGCTCAATACACAGCCCTAGCAAAAATGATATACAACAAGGACTTTGATTGGATTATTAACATTCATACGATTGATCATAATTATTAACTGTTATTGCACTTTCATTTTCAAAATATTGTTAGGTACATTGTTTGTTCACTCTTTTGCATTGATGTTATAATTTATAAAAGAGTATTTTAGCAGAAAAAATTATCAATTTACCTTTCTTGGAATAAAGACATGTTGACCCTTGAGCTGAGATTTTCTCTCTTTCCATAGATTTGTTACACTGGGGTCCACATGATTCTAGCAGAGACCCTGTAAAAAAGGACTTAACTATGGAAAAGCATGAAGAATATATGCCTATTATACATATCTTAAATTCTAATGAAAACAATGTTTTTTAATTAAGATCCATACATTTCTAATGATTGACATAATACAAATTCAAAATAAAATATGCATGTCTATATTATACACTGTACCTTAAGCAGACCAATTGCATTATTACATCCTTCAGGAGACCAACTTAAATCAATGTTTGAGAACTACTTGTGAGAACAATAAATTTGTCTACTTTACAGTACTAAATGTACATGGAATCTATAGGATCATGTTACTTTAACTGGCCTGCCTTAGTTCAACACAGTAATCTAACAAAGAAATTGAGCCAAAACAACATTTTAAGACTTTTTGAACAGTGCATGTTCCTATCATTTCAAAACCATTACACTGTACCAGTAAAAATGCTAATATAGGAAAATGATGACAATTAATTAATATTGTACTTTCAGGTATATTAGATGAATTAATCTGATTTGTCAAGAAACATTTGTTAAAAAGCACTATTATCCGCTGAATAATGAAGCCACGCCCAGTGTCGCAACAGTCAACATTGCTTGACGACGGGTGATATTCCAAAAAATAGTGACTGCGCAGATTTATGCACTCAAGGTTCACTATTATTTGTATAAAACATTCAGTATAATATAATAAATATTGCATGTAGTTGAGTGTAATATTGAAAATTTTCACCCCTCGAAAACCAAATACGTCAAAAAGGGGATGGGTTTCTTTTCCAACTTCTACATAGTTTCGCCCCTGCAAAAACTGGTATAAACCTTGGAAATGTTTAAACGGGCTAAGAGAAATCAAATGCATCAAGAGTACTTAATTGTTTTTACCCAAGTTACATGCCAAAAAAGATTCAGAGAGACGTCACATAAAGTTAATGTTGATTTGAACTGAAGTTAGGGTGTCAAAAGTCATTCACGTCCAAAAGTGACATTGATCATGTGTGGTAGATAATAAACTCCTACGATCTAAATATGCTGCCATAATCAAGTGAGGATCTTTCCCTAATCCTATATATAAATCCATTTACAATATTATATGCACTTAAGCAGCTGTTTATGACATTGTAAAATTATATAAACAAGACCGGTTTATATAATTTATATCAATTTATATAATTAATAATATAATTTATATATAATTTTATCAAGATAAGTGTATGGGGTAGAGGGAGCAGACATTGAGAATCAATGTTGTCGGACCTCATGAAACTAAACAAACAGTCTTCCAAATAACCCGGGAGTCCAATGCCAGGGACCTGTTAAATTTGCAGCCGGGCATGTAAAAATTGCCAAATTACATGTCCGAAGAGGGCATATGTGAATCTTCTTTCATTGTACGATCTTTACTTGCCATTTATTTTGTCCTTTCCCCATTATTCGCTTAAACGTTGCTATATGTAATGTTGATGGATTGCCTGTCTACATTCTCAATACGACCTGTCAAATGATTGTCAATCTAATCATTGAAGTGTTTAGTTTAACCTATTTGTTTTCTCGAAGTTGCTTGCTAAATTACGAGATGTTCATCAATGCCACATACTGTGGCACTACAGTCATGATCCCATTTCTGAAATTCAGTTCAGCTAAACCGGCCAACAAATGACCAGCATGCAACTCAAAAGTTATTTATGAACAAGAACGCTTTAGAAAATGGCAATCACAGGCCATGGTTGGTTTACGATGCTGAAAAAATTAATATAAAACCTTTATACCTAATGGGTTTTTTTTGTTGCACAATACTGGTAAATGTAAGAATTTTGAGTAGGACGTACAAATTTGAATGGGCTGGGTAAAAATGATAGGTCTACATGCCCGAAGGGCATGTGCTGAAAAAGAATTGTTGTGAAGACTGAACTAAAGCGACAGCGCCGGGTGATCATATATAGTCCCCTTTATTACATAATAATTTGGCAAATTATCAACACATCAAGCTAAAATTTCCAACATATCTTAACGGTGAGAATTTTTATTTTTTAAGTTGAAACCTCGTGACCTGTGAAAAAAATGAAATTTGTATCCCATCTAAAGTCTTAAAATGTATCAAGGTAATTTTCGAATACAAATTTGCGGTTGGGGTTATAAATGAAGGATAAAACCAGAGACCTCGGAATGGAATACTCGGAAGTCTCTGGTTTTATTCTATCCCCAACTGGAAGTTGTATCCCATCTAAAGTCTTAAAATGTATCGAGGTAATTTTCGTGGAATAAATGAGTGTTTTACAATAAAGAGACTCGACCAGAGACGTCTGAAACGATTTATTTGACAAGAAAAAAGTCTCTTGAAGCGAACGATGTCATTTTAAAGTAGGTTAATGATTGATAATGATACATGAACAAAATACGAGCTTGAAGCGGGGGTGCCTGAAATTGAGTTAGATACCTTGTGGTAAAAATAAGTAGGGGTGCACCGTATATGAAACAAGTGCCTGTGATTGATAGTCTGAAATTTCTCTTCACATAAATATTAAAAGCTTGCAGTGATCGCTATAAATCTATACAACAGTCAAGTTACATACGGTAAACTAACATAAAAACAAGATTACAACAGTCATGATTACAGAAGGTATATTTTGAAGACTCTAGGTCAGTAGGTGAATGTAAACAGGTAAACACACGTGGGACAGTCACCGCAAATATGAACCACAAAACGACTTGTAACATTAAAATGTAAATATTCATCTGCACACAGATTTTTGCATAATAATAATAATTTTTAAAAAGTGTAAATTTAAAATATAAAATAAACAAACCTCAAACCTTGTAAGTGTTACAAGGCTTGTTTCCCTACAAATCTTATTCTGGTTCTCTGTCACTGAAAATGCAGGGAACCAGGCTGCGTTATTAACTCGTACACAGATTTGTTGATACGAATAAACCTATAAACATATATACGAAATAAAATATTATCATAAAAAATGAAGAATTTCAAATTGCTTGAAAAATTATCTTTATGTAGTTTATAATAAATGGTTGTAATTGTTTATTAATTTCTATCTATCCATTAAAATTTGATAGTTACGTATATCAGCTTAATATGTGTTCGTCTGAACAATTATTGTTATTACACTCCCTGTCACATCTTCATAGTTAAGCCTGTAAGCATGGTAAGAAGGAATCAATTTCAGTTGAAGGGGACCAAAACCAACATTTTTCAGTTTCATTTGGTGGGGAGGGGGGGGGTATAAACCTCAAATGATCATTTTATCTCTGTCACTGAACTGCTGAAAATAATGAAGGGAACTAGGCTGCGGCAATGATTTGTTGACTGCATTAAAATACGAAATAAATTATCATACATACGAAATAAAATAATTTCATGAAAAAATGAAGAATTTCCAATTGCTTGAAAAAAAAGAAGTTTTTCATGTATGTGATTTACAATAAATGGTTGTACTTTTATATTTTCTATATATCCATTAAAATTTCACAGTATCAGTATTTCACTATTTGTAAACATTAACAATAATATTAAATAAATGTTACACTCACTGTGGCTTTGACTGAGTTACTGTCACATCTTCATAATTAAACGAGAATATTCTCTTCCGTAAATATTGCTATATATATCTGAACTGTTACCAATTAATCTTTCTTTGGTGAAAGAAAACCTCAGGGATGGAGAATAGGCCCGTACTTAATTTAGTTGGAGGGGGGAGGGGGGGGGGGGTGAGCACAACCAAACAACATTTTTCAGTTTCAGGTTGGGGGAGGCTACAAACCAAAAAATTTTTAGTAAGCAAAAGAAAAATACATTATCAGAGGTTATTATTGAGGGGGCCCAAAAGCAAAAGAAAAATAGATCATCAGAGGTTATTATTGAGGGGGCCCGAGCATAAAGGAGCAATGTTTTCTATAGTATACCTAAATTTCAGCAAAATTACAGGGGGCCTGCCCCCCCCCCCCCCGTTCCTTCAGCCATGTATTGTATCAAATCTGCTTCACCCTGATTCAGATTTTTTTTACAGTCAGCATATACAGACCCTGAAACGTGCTACTACCCCACACGCACGCTGCACGAACGGTACACGCTCGCTACACGGTTTGCACGAAACGCTGCACGGTTTACACGAAACGCTACACGGTTTGCACGAAACGCTACACGGTTTACACGAAACGCTTTGCACGAAAGGCCGCACGGTTTACACGAAAGCCTGCACGAAACGCTTTGTACACGTTTCTCACACGCTTTGTACACGATTCTCGCACGTTTTGGCCTCGATCTGGATTTTCTATTCGGAATCTCTCGGACTTTATTTAAATTAAGTAAATTACGGATTAATCAAAGATTAGTCAAGAATTGCAATCATTCAGATTAAGTTAGGATTAGAACTCGCTACAACAGTACTATATTAACAGATAAAAATACACAATGTTAAGTTGTATTTAATTAATATTATAGTTGTCAATGAGTATGTGAAATGCCTATCATAGTGTATGTACAAAATTTTTTCACTAGACTCTAAATTACGTACTGAAAAAAATAATTATATTTGTAATTCATAATCTTTACAGCATTCAATGTTTTTACAATTATAGTTTGATATTAACAAATCGTTTTATTACTGACAAATAAACCCAGTTATTGATTTGAAAAAAATATTGATTGAATTGTGTATGATTTCTGTAAACGGATTGATTTTCTTTCATTTTCTTTTTATTATTATTATTGATTGATTTATTCATTTTTTTTTTATTTACCTAGTAGTAAATAAATACTTTCATTTGATTGAATTAGGTTCTGTTTATAATTTACAAAGGTAAAATGTACAAAATGTACACTAAATCAAAAAAGAACATTGTGCAGGATGGGGGGGGGGGTGTAGATTACCGAGATCTTACTTCTGTTCATGGCTAAATATAACTGGCACTTGTTTCAGTAAGTATACCATAGGGAAAAAAAAATATTATAGAAACAAATGCCCGTTCTAAGAAAAAAAAAGGATATCCATGTCTCCAGCGGGACCAGATACATGTTATTCATTAACTGCACTTTAATTAGAATGGTACATGTAAATATATCGCTTCATTACAGAATCAATCTTTGACTTATCATTAAAATGTAATATGGTAGAGAAGCCGGGGGAATAGGTATTGTAATGCTATAGTTCTCCATTTTGAAGCATTGTGTTTATCAAATAAACACAATATACCCACCACCTTGTAAAATCCTTGATTTCAAATCCCGCTAGACAAAAAAAAAAATGTAATCAATAGTCGTGGCTCTTAACAATACATTCAATATACATGAATACATGTCCAGTGTCCTAAAAACTAAAAAAATATGCCCTAGAACTGCGTGATTAATAAATCAACTAATATATAATTAATCCGGATTATTTTTCGTTACATTTTATTATTCACGAATACACTGGCAAATTAATTCACTGTTTACAGAGAATCGGATAAATTTAAGAAATAAAATCCATTAAATACTAATAAAACTATTAAATTTCACGAATTAAAAATTAATCGTTATTGTCGGGTGTCATCTTAGCCATGATTGACAAGAGATAATACATGTACATGTAGCAGAACAAGTTTTCAGTTCCCGGCAAGCGGAGCCCGTGATCGCTGTTGTAAATGACCTTGATCACAGTCGTAAGAAGAGTGTCGGAAGTGTAAAGAAGATTCAATACATTTTTAAGGGGTGCATCAGGCGCACCCCTAAAAAAAATATTTTTTAAAAAGAAAATTATCTATAAGAACATGTTAATAACAAAAACTCAAAGTTTGTGTTTACATTTGAACACCCCCCCCCCCTCCCCCGGAAATATTTAACCTTGTATTTGCCGATGCATGTGAATTATGATTCATTTATAAGACAATTATTAATCAACCAATTTTATGCATAAAAAGACTATAAATGACTCATCGTTTAAAAATTATTTGTATCACAATCTTGTAATATAAGAAAATTATGTTCGTTTATAAGGAAAAAAAAAATAATTGTGTTCCCCGGCCTAGAATTTCCATACTTCACATTTATAGCAACGCACTAAACTTAGTATTTTATATTTCACACCTGCCTTATCTATTTATTATTTTGCATTAATCACCCATATGGTTTTGTAATATCTATATACCACAACTGTAAAATGATGAAGAGATTCAAATAAATGAATGCAAGGACAAGACCGGATTATTGATGATTTTTTTTTTTTTTAAAATAATGTTCAGTATTGCTCCCTTTAAAAAATGTATTGAATCAAATACCTTAAAATTGATGTGCGTATAATTAATTACTTTGAAAATATTTTTTTTCCTTCATTATTTAAATAAAAAAAGAAAGAAAATCAAACAAATATGTAATACATTACCGAGTAATTTATTTTGTCGTTTCCGTAGTTTTTTCTCTCTTAAAATACCACCGGTATAATATATTCGAATAATAATAGTTACAAACAACACAGAATGACATGTTGATCCATCAGTAGCCATATTTAAAATAAAATGAGTTCCGAATGAATCCTACACGTTTCTCACACGATTCTTGCACGAAAGTCGCACGTTTCTCACACGGTTCTTACACGAAAGTCGCACGTTTCTCACACGCTTCTCGCACGCTCGCTACACGGTTTGCACGAAACGCTTTGGAGCTTACACGAAACGCTGCACGGTTTACACGAAACGCTACACGGTTTGCACGAAACGCTGCACGGTTTACACGAAACGCTACACGGTTTGCACGAAACGAAAAGCGCACGAAAGTCACACGCTTTTTTGGGGTAGTAGCACGTTTCAGGGTCTGTATATTCTATTAGCAGAGGACCACATTATATTAATAAACAATTATTAAATTACAGCTATTTTTTTCTTACAGGGTCTGTTTCATTTATACTATGTCATGATGATCATGTCCTGCATGATGTTTACAGAAATTAAGTTTAATTTAAATGTTTAAGCTAGAAATAGCTGCGTCAACTTGCGAGACTATTTTTTCAACGTTCGGCCTAATCTTTAAAATATTTAATTTGTTTGTGGACTTGCATAAAAGAATTAAAAAATATAGGGGCCTATCATTTAACTTTATTTCGAATTTCCTTCAGGATTTTATATACCGAACTATAGTCTAACGATTATTTAAAATCATACTTTTTCTCTTGGAAGCTAAATTACTAGGCAAAAAAACAAAAACAAAAAACAAACGAATGTTTGTCTTGTGTATTCTTAATTACAACTTATTACTGTATCATTTTAGTTACTTACCCAAATTTCTCAACATCCATGGTGTTCAGGGGTCATTTTCTGAAAACTGAAGGGGCATTCCGATGGTATTCGGAACAAATGACGGAAAGCACTTGCTAAGAATTCAAAACATGGTTCATAAATTTACAATATTTTTCCTTTTTAGGTTTTTAACATAAAACATGGAAAACTAAGTTAAAGAAACACTCATTTGAACAAATCAAAAGCGGAAAAAATATATATGCTAGATTTTTTGTTTAATTGCATGTTTTTCATGGTCTCCAAAATGCAGAAAAATTATCCTTTGAAATTATACGTAGGTTATAAATTCTTTTCTTTTTTAGGGAAGATGATAGAAATTAGACAACTTTTGAATGTTAAATAACAGAGTTAAAGATTAATAATATTTAATGACAGACTGTTTATTTATCTATAAAAAGACATTTGCAATACTGATGAGGTCAAAATAATAGGGAGACCGAAAAAGGTCGCCTTAATCCAGTGGTCTCCCTAAGCCAGAAAATATATCCTCCTTGGTCTCCTAAAGCCATAAGTCATATATATATATATATATATATATATATATATATATATATATATATATATAAACATAACAATGATAAATTGCTTTCAATATGTTGTATTATAATCAATATGACAATTTTCATGCTTCGCAGATATAACCGCCAAGATATGAACCATTATCACAAAAGACGTTGTGGAACGTGTACCGTTCTCCTGCATAAAAGAACATACAGTCCTGTGGAGACCTGTCAGATCCATTGGGTTCTCCTGCACCAAAGGCATGATATGTCATCTTGGTCATTTGTCCGTGCTTGATCCACCTCCAATCTCCCCCGGGTTTTCTTCTGTTTATGTTTCTTCCCCCAACATAAAAGTGAATTCCTGATTTAAAAGTCCAAGAAAAATGAAATATGAAATTTTAGAATGAGAATGTTTCCAATCCATATAAGTAAGTGAATTGTGAATTGTATAAGAAATGTATGATTAGTAGAAACTCATAAATTGTGTTTCGATAAATTCCTTACTTGTATTCATTTTCTTTAAAAGCTTTTTCATTTGCAAAGCCTCTTCTAGAGTTTCAAAGTTAGCCAGGTAGCCACCAGTTTCTAAACAGTTCGCCTTTAGGATATAATAGAAAAGTGAAGTATTGTAATAATCTTTTTTTATCAAAAGTAAATTACATGTAAGTTTATTTGCTATCATTTATTATGTTCAATTACAATCCTTGTCTACTTACAAATGCTGTGTCTGCTGACACTTTATCTTTTTTGATCAGATAACAAGAATCCCCGAGTTTTTGAAACTGTCTAGGACAATCATCTGTTTAAAAATGAATGTATACTAAATTAACCATTGAAGTCAAATAAACTGCAAGCATTGTGGCAACGCACTTTGAAAAAATCAACGCACTTTGAAAAAAATTTCCAAATTGCGTTAAATTTGGGACAAAATTAACGCACTTTGAAAAAAATTTTCATAGTGCGTTAAGAGTGTATATCAACATTTTTTACCCTAGAGACACCTAACGCACTTTGAAAAAATATGTCTAAAACAAAAATTCTGGACTTAGATTTTAGTAAGAGACAGCATTATTTTGTTATATTTCTTTTGAAAAACTTATGAATTGATCTATCCTCATCGAGAACGAGGAGAAGACAGGTAGAAAGTCCCTTAGCCCAACTCTTCATCTTTCCTATCCAAATATATGTATTTATATAACTGGTATGAGATTGATATACTTTCAATAAATTTTAGTTAATGTAAAATAGATGGAAAAAATGAGAAAAGATTTTCTGAAGAAAAAAAAAAGGCATTTACAGTGTAATTAAAACATGCTATTTTACATGTCTAGCCTTTTTATGATATCAAATTACAAATTTAGAAGTAGTCTGACTGCAAAACTTTTGTTTATTAGATTTACTTGAGAAAAGTTAGTAGTGAACGAGGTAAAAATTTGAGTCGAGTGAGTAGTGTGGCTAAGATTTATATTTCTTACTATCAAATAAATGAATCAGCCACTATTTCATAAATGTTTACAATAGATAGAAAAATGAATATGAAAGATATATATATATATATATATATATATATATATATATATATATATATATATATATATATATATATATATATATATATATATATATATATATATATATATGAGAGAGAGAGAGAGAGAGAGAGAGAGAGAGAGAGAGTATGGTATGGAAAAATCATAATTGCTCCCTTTCCCTAAGGAAAATGCGATGCTTTAAGTCACTTATAGACCCCTACATCCACCGAACTTATTACAGACTGGATAAAATAAAAAAGAAACAAAATTGTGCTATTAAACAAACATTCCTCCATTATTTCTTAAAGACACATTTCCCTTTTATAACATTTACGAGAAGTTTCGGGAAGAAGTCAACCCCTAAAAATCTTTAAAACGTCTATATCTCAGATCGTGAAGTGACGTCATCACCGAAAAATTACGTACCACACCTAAAATTTGCAAGAATATTGACCAAGCCGTGCACATTTTTTTTCAAAGTGCGTTAATATGGTCGATATCAACACACTTCGAAAAGATTTTTTTTTTCAAAGTGCGTAACTTGGTCCCAAATTTAACGCACTTTGAAAAAATTTTTCAAAGTGCGTAATTTTTCAAAGTGCGCTGTAACAAAGCATACGTTACAAAACATCTGGGATTTGGCGTTTCTATAACTAGAATAGTCAAAAGATTGGATTTCATTTTACATTTTGCAATAAGTTATCTTTTCTTTATTCTTAAAGTCTTGTCTTTGCGTACTCAATATTCTGTATCCTTCGAGTCTATGCGTCAAGTTCAAATTTTTTACACTATGCAATTCAGTTTATCAAACTTTAGTTATTAGCGTCGATTTTAAGTCAAAACAATATTTGAACAATATTGAAAAACTTAAAAAAATATTTTATAATAATCAGCAATTCATTTCAACCTTAGCAACTTTATCAAATAGCTGTATCATGATTAAAACGAATACCTCCAACGATTTCAATTGCATCAATCTCTACAACTGACCGAGAGACAGTACAATCAACTTCAATTCTCAACTCACTTACAGGAAAATTCATTTTCTAAAAAGAATGATGATCAATTTAAAGTTTTATGTAAAATATTTGAATATTAACGATTTTTTTAAATCTGGTATTTCTTATTTTCTTACTTAAACGATGCCGAATAAGGAGAGTAAAGGAGAGAAAAAGATCATTACATTTTAAATTGTATTTCATTTTTACATTTCACTTACTGTTTTTAAAAACATAATATATACTCACTTTGATTTTAGGGGAGAATATCCTGGACTTCCTGATTAACTGTGCATGTGAAACCTTAAAAATTTCAACCCACTGGTTTTCTTTATTCTTCGCCAAAATTCTCTTCACAGCTCCAGCATGAAAAGTTTCATATATATTGACCTTAGTTATCCAAACTTTCTCTGGAAATTTGACCTGATTAAGAAAAAAAGATAAACAAATGAAAGAAATGAATTTGTAACTCAAGTTTTATTAATATTAGCTTTAATTTTGTAATAGAAAGAAGAATTTCAGTCGTTGATTATATAAGTCTATCACGGTTGTTACACTTTCTTATGTCCTGGACTTAAGGAAGAAAACAATAACCGGTGACAAGAATGAATCGCTCTAGATATACTTTGTCATATTTAACTTAATTCTTGATATAAAACTGCACCTGTATAAACTGGTTTGCATTCCGTTGTCCGCTCCCCTGTGCCCATGTCCCTTGAATGTCACCATAGCGAGGATATACATTAGGTTTCCCCAATATCTGTTTCGCTGAGTATCTACATAATTTGTATTTGCTATTAATGTGTTCTTAAATGTATATATATATATATATATATATATATATATATATATATATATATATATATATATATATATATATATATATATATATATATATATATATATATATATATATAATATATATATATATATATATATATATATATATATATATATATATATATATATATATATATATATATATATATATATATATAGTATTACGGTGAGACTAAAGTAGAATACAACAGAAATTTGAATCAAAACAAAGTGAAATTAAGTGAGTCTACCCTGGCAGGTTGTACTGTGACGAAAATGATGTAACTTCAGAAGCCCATTGTCTTTTGATGGCTGTCGTTTCACATGTAAAAAATGAATCTATAATGATAAGGTTTTTAAAGGCGATTTCTTTTACAAAATTCATTAAGTAACTTTCATTTTCACGTTTCTTTTAAGGTAAATGTAAGTATATATGCCGACTAGCTGCAGAACTGTAGCTCGCAGGTATGATAAAATTAAAATTTACGACCATCCAAGCTTATTCAGGCTAGCGAGCTACAGATCTGCAGTATATACTGACTTGCATTTCAAAAAGTATCACAGAAAAGCTTCTTGTACCGCCATTTGAATTAAGGAAAATACTTACAAGTACCTTCTTTTGTGAGTTTGAAATAGACACATTCAGCCTACCTTCTGATGAAAAGACGATGAAAATGAAAACGCACAGTAGGATCTTCATAGTTCTCTGCCTCACACAATAACGGTAACTAATGCCAGACCAGTGTTTAAATTTTACCAAGAAAAAAATGTTTTTAAATGAAAACGCACTGGTCATAGCTCTTCTCATATTTCTTTTTAATGTCTGTATCATTATCAAATTTCATCAATATAAACGTCCTTTATACTACTAAGAATAATATTGAAGCAAGATTTTAAATCATATATGACAACCCAGCTGAATTTTATTGATAATAAAAATTGCAAGGAAAATCAAAACTAACCCTGCTTCCTTCAGACACTCAAACAAATTAAGTTGCCAAAATATCAGTTCTTTACGCTCACCTAAGTCACTTTTCTTAATTTTATTAAAAATATTTATTTTACTTTGTCCCTAAGAAAGCAATTATATATTCAGAGTTTGATCCACACGACACAATATTGATTTTTCTTAATATATGATAAAGAGTTTTTTTTCAGTCTTTAAGATTTTTTGCTACATAAACAGAAGGGTGAATTTAAAAAAATGACCGCCAAATTGAAATTTTTTGAAAAAAATTCAACTACCCATAAATTATTTTTCACTTATATCATTAAATTGTACATGCATTCTAGTTAAATTTCCTGAAGTTGCAATAGAATAGATATTTGGATAAAAAAATTTCAGAATTTTTATTAGTAAAACTGTATTTAAAGAAGGAAAATATCAGTATATCCTAAAAGACTTCCTAAAAAGCATAATCAAAAGAAATTATAGCTTTTTATGCTTCAAAATGGTATCAGGGATATAAATGATTAGATCTTAACCTTGACTGAATTTCTTCTCTTGTATATGTGGGAAAAAATTAGGTTTTTTGATTGTTATTTTACAAAAAAAATTTTCAATTTTGCTTTGAAAAGTTTTGATACGAGAGAAATATAAAACAATAAAATCCCCCCCCCCCCCCCAACATTTTTTTGTCCATTTAAGTAAGTTCTTTAAATTTAAGCCAAAAGAGAATTTTGACATACAAGTCTTCTCCACCAAAAATTACGAGATTTTGAAGTGACCCACAGTGACTGTTACATTATTGTGATACACTCCTGATTTCTTATATCCAGTTTTATTTAACATTGTTTTAAAAATTATAACACACAATTACCCATTCTTAGGTTGTAAATCAGTTTGTTGTTTTGATATTTTTTTTTATCATTTACATTATGTTTTGAATATCAAATAGTATCAAACACTTTTTTTTTTCAATTTATGTTTTACTAAAGATAGATGAAGATCATTGATAATTATAAACAGTTTTGTTGCACTTTTTTGTTGAACAGAACACAAAAATTCATGAAGTGTTGGCAACATTAAGTGGTAACGAAATTGTGCAAAATTTTTGGTCCTAAACTTCATAATTAAAGCACATAAAAGTATTTCAATTTGGCTTTATACCTTGAATTATTCCCTTATAATGTCAAAAAACTAGCTAGAATATAAATATATTTAGAAGATAAAATATATCTTATAATATATTTTCCTTCACAGGACAAACACTACGCAACTGAGGTCAACCAAAAACATTCTACTCATCAATTTTTTCTTAACATTTATTCATATTTGATCAGCAATAATTTTCAAATATATGTTGCACTACTGATCAAGAGCATGGGTAAAAAATTATTAAATGATGAATAAAAGGCTGAGTCTACCCAATTTGGGAATGAAAATATATAATAAGCATTTTACATGAAAATGAAAAATAAGGAGATGCGGTGGGGTGGTGGCGGTTAGACTTCTGTTTACAATCCACTCTGCCACTGAATCTAGTTTAAAAATAACAGCCAATCAGAATCGTTGAACAAATTAAACGTAACTATCAGAACCTAACCTGGTAGATGTTAAAGTTACGGTATTCTTTTCAACATAAACTTAGCTTATTCTCATAAGCCTTAATTTATGTTGAAAAGATAAAATAGTATAGTAGGTTAAAACATTTATTCTAAGTCTAACATTAAAACATTCCACAAATAACTTCCAATACAAAAACATCAAATAACATTGAAATACATATATATACTTTGGCATAAATAGGGGCAGACTCAGCTTCTCATAGTTTTAATCAGTTAAAAAACCCTATCCTCAAAACAGCGGAACCAGTCCCAAGAGCCGGAAGAAAGGTACAGATATATGTACCAGTCAACTCGGTGAAACTGGTGTGCTTTGAGATTGAGGTTCAACTTCCAAGACAAAACTCAACTCGGTGTAGCAGCATAGGAGACCAGTCATGTTTGACCGGTTTAAAATTTAATAATTTATATATATGGTAAAATTATTAAATGATGGCCAAAACTCAGGTGAATGTTGTTGCAATCGAAATGAAGCTGAGTGCCCCCAAAAATGCAATATTAATAATACTGAATAGAAATGATATACATGTACATCCTAATATAAAACATAAAAGTTCTTAATGCAAAAAAAAAAACAACGAAATTTGTATGCAATTATCTGACAAAGGTCAACTAAACCTAAAACTGAAAATAAGTGTCAGGTGACAAGGTATTAAACAGTTGTCATTGACTTTTGTGCCTCTCGTAAAACAGTTTCTGGTGTTCTAATATATCTACAACAAGCATCAGAAGACCATCTACCTAACACCTTGATTAAATGGTCTTCCATATGGACAGCAGCTGCAGTGGTTGCTGCCCCTATCCTGAATGAGTGTCCATTATATACATCTGAATTACATCCAATACATTTAAGAGCATGCTTAAGTTCAGAAATAAATTCAGTTCTTGTTAGAGCATTTCCATCGCTATTTACAAATAATGGTTGCTTGGCTGAAAAGGGCAAGGAACAGCGTGCTTTTAAATATTTACAACATATTGAAAATGGACATATTATGTTGCTTGTGGGGAACAGTTTAATTGTAATTCCTTTTCTAAAAGGATCAGTTTTTGAGATCTTAAGATTTAACAATACACAACTTTCTAGAACACTAAGGTCACTAACACATAAGTTTGTTGTGGGGTCAAAAGAATCCTTAATGGTAAATTCCCCACACCTTAAAAAACCAAAAAATGCTATAGTACATACAGTTTCTAACATAAGATTTCTAAAACTTTCTGTTCTACGAAAATATATACAAACTTTTTTCAGTATGTCAAAAGATATAGGATGTCTTAGCTTACAAGATGGTAACTGCATTCGTTTGACACCATTTAACAATGCTTTAAGTCGAGACAGATTGGTGACATCTGGGTAAGCAATGTTGCTTTCAAGACATATAAATTTAATACCGCACAAATACAGCTTAATGGTTGAAAAGCTTAGCTTAAGCCTACTAACACAGTGAGCTACAAAGTATATCAAATAGTCTTCAGTCACTGGGATGTCCGAAGTATATGCACTAGAAATGGCACATGACATCAATAAAAATTGAACGTACATATGGAACGCAGACCTATAAGTGGATCTTGTGCTTGGTGCTACGGCATTTGTCCATAATTGTTGTACTATGTCTTCGAGCTCCACAAAACACCTTTGGGTGGTGGTACTTTGGTTGCATGCTCTTGGGCACTGGGTACCAGACTGCGAAACTTCGAAATCTGTAAACGTGATAAAGCATCTGCTATAGTATTTTGTTTACCAGGAACATGAATTGAAGAGAATACAAAATTATGTTGAGCAGACACAAGAGTTAATCGTCTCATTAACGGCATAATATGTACAGACTTTGATCTTCCCTTATTTAAGATTGCTACCGTTGCCGAATTGTCACACATAAAAACTATTCTTTGTTTCTTCCACATATGACCCCAGAGAATGGAAGCTACAACAATGGGATATAATTCAAAGAAAGCAATTGATAATTCTGTATCACTATCACATAATTGTTTAACTTCATCTGTCCAAGGCTCGGAGAACCAGTTTTCTTTAAAGAACCCTCCATATCCTACCGTTGCAGAAGCATCTGTATACAGATTTAGTTCCTCTGATGTAATCTGAGACATGCTATAAAATAGATTAATGCCATTCCAATTGCTTAAGAAACTCAGCCACATTTGCATGTCTTCCCTACATTGTTCGTTTATTTTCACGTAATGATGCAGTTGTTTAACGGTGGTGGATAGGGCAATAAGATGGGAAACAAAAGACCTTCCTGGGAGGATGACATGGCTGGCGAAGTTCAAATGGCCCAGAAGTTCTCTCTTCGTACAAGATTTGCGTGACTGAAATTTGTGAAGGAATTCTGTTATTCTTTGGAGTTTCTCATTTGGGAGTCTGGCTTCCATTAACTGTGAGTCTAAAATGATGCCTAAATACTCTAAGCACGTGGTAGGTCCTTCGGTTTTATGCAGAGCCATTGGTCTATTCAGAGTTTGAAAGATATGATACAACAAATTCATGTTTGTTTCACCGTCATTTTCAGGATGTTCGAATGTGATGAAATCATCTAATAGATGTAGAATATATTTGATTCCATAATTGTTATACGCTATCCAGCACACTGCTTGTGAAAGATTGTCAAATATCTTTGGACTTGATCTGCAACCAAATGATAATTTTGTATAGTAATAATATTGTGATCTCCATTTGAAACAAAACATATGCCACTGTTCGGGTAGAACCGGTACAAGTTTAAAGGCATCGGAAATGTCTGTTTTGCACATAGTGGTCCTACGTCCTAGAGTCTGAATAATTCGTATGGCGTCATCTATTTTAACATAAGACAGAGAACAGTTTTCTTTATCTATCATGGAATTGACACTGGCATGATGCTCGTTATCATGAGGGGATGATAAGTCCATGATAAGCCTTGGTTTCCCTGAATATTTCCCAATTGCCACGCCTATTGGGCTTACTCTGTATTTTGGGAATGGAAGTGACTCTAGTGGACCTACCACGAAACCTTTCTCCACTTCTGTCTTCACTAATTTATCTACTATTTCTGGCTGATTTCTAGCTGACAGAAGATTTCTACATTCTAAGGTTTCTGAATCAGCATCTGCATTAGAAATCATAGTATCAAAGCCATAAGTAAAACCATCACACAAATATTTCGCAAATTCTTTGTCAGGATGATGGAAAAGTTCATGTGTTAAAACTTTAATGTTTACAGGCGTTGTTAGGAGATCATCTGTCATCATTGTCCTGTTTTCTAGTCACTTTTTTTCCAACCTTAGGCTGGACTCTGGAAACATTCTTACATAATGAGGATCCATGGTCCTTAGAATGGCATGTTGTGCACAGATGTTCAAACTGGCAATTTTGTCTTTTACATTTGTTTTCGTTAAAGTTATTACACACTTCTTTCCCATCTATTATGGTCCTTGGTCGTCCATATCTGTCCATTGATGATGACTTCGGGTTTTGTGACGAAGATGAAGTAATCACTGGAATTCTACTTTCAGATATTTTTGGACAGAAAGCAGACATGTGTAAGGTTGATGAACATGTATTACAGGTACTGGCTTGAGTATTTCCCATCACCATCATCATAAGATTCAAGTCCTTAACTGACCAATCCACCTTAACATTATGGTCTCTTAGTGCTGTGGCTGCTCTGGCAGAAAACTGGCAATGGTAATCATAGAACTTTTGACCATAAACGTTATGAATATCCACTATGTTAGCCTCGTACCTGAACAGTTCAACTTGCCTTTCAGGTACTTTTGACACATGACTCTCTTGTATCGTCCGAATGCAGTAATAAATTCGGCTATAGTCAATTGTGTATGGGGTCGAGGATCCTCATATTTTAACAAGTTTATTGTGATATTCTTCGTCTTTTCCGTCTTATATTTGGGTATTAGCAATTCTGCTAAATTCACGTCTTTCCCCTCCCATATCTTCTTTCTGAGTTTATCCCCAACAATGTCTAAATGCGTTAGGTTTTCAGAGGGGACACCAAATTCTGTCTGAGGTAATCTATACCCACCTGTATTCTGAGTTGCTGGGACAGTCTGGCTCCTCATGGCCGCATACGCCGTGTCCAGTGAATTACCCGTGTCATTGTTGCTATTTCCTGTATTTCCCGTCTTATCTGACATCAGTCGGAGCACTGTCTGTTGTAGACCCATAACGGTTTGTTGCATTGTGTTCATAGTATTCAGCATACCGCTGATTACTTAATTATTTACACTGGCGGCCATGTTGGAATTGTTACGCAAGGATTCCGAGCCCGAATTCATATGCGTTTGAGCACGTTGGACGGTCTGGTCGGTAAACTCGGTATGAGTAGATGTTCCGATATTGGAAGTTTCTTCAGACTGGGACACAATGGGTGTTTCTGTCGAGGAATTAGGAAGCTCATCAGGATGACTATTTTGGGACGAGTCATTTTCCCGCCGTTCTCTCACCGTTGGGGTTCTGTTTACATTTTCCAAGTAGAGTTTTCTAAGAGTCGCCTTTCCAATATTAGCAGGGACACGAATGTTTAATTTTAGAAGTTATTCTTGAAACTGTGTAGTTGTCCAATTGTTTACGTTAGTAGCGTCCCATCGACTTGACATATTTTGTAATGGACGCTGGCGAGTGCGCGGTCTTGAATTACCATCCGCCATCGTGAGATAACTGTCTCTGATTTCCAAACTACGATTACAGTTTATAAATCACGGAAACATACACCTTATGTATTAAAATTGTTCACATATCTCACATAATTCTGTACACGCAATGCACACGCAGTACAGTTAAGGCAACATTTTCTATAAAAAGGCACCAAAAACGAGACACTTAAAGTTCAACCGTCTTATTTTTTAGTATGAAACTCTATCTGAAATATCTTAATGGCTTTATGAAGAGTTTGTCCATCGCTTTTCACATCGGTATTTTTTGTCATCATGTGACCCTCTACAGTCACGTGAGCTCCGATTTTAGGTCAAAATATGAAATGTCAAATTTAACCAAAAAGTGCAAGGGCAAGGCATACAATATTTGAACTGTACAATGTTTCATTGTGTCCCTTAGTATCTATTCTATCGAAGAACTGATGCTCATTCAGTCAGATTTCTGAGATATTTAAGTTATTCATTGAAAACAAACACCAGTATTCAAAAATAAGGTATTTTTCATCATTTAATCGGAAATTTTAAATTGCCTAATGAATTACAAAGAAATGAGCATCACTTTTTAAAAACTATACAATAAAGTAAAGAATTTAAAATAAAAACCTACCTCTTGGGTTGTCGCCTTGCCCTTGCACTTTTTGATTAAAAATTGAAATCTTAACACAATCATTCTAAATATAGTTTTCAAACGCATCATTGACCCAGCATGGGAGATAACTCTGTGGTACTTAATAGAGTTTGTGTACCTCGCAAATTTTGAACAAATAATACCTATATACGGACTGTGTTGGGCTTTATTTCATTAAATCAAATCGGTATGTATAAAAAAGATCCTTGACTTTACTTTGTTTTATATATCTTCGTTCTTTTATACGCTACACAAGACGTATTTGACACCTACCGCATTTCCTCCGTTCGTCAACAATAGGCCTAAAATTTGCCGCAACATCATGTAAATCAATTAGCCCCTTCACGGTAACTGCGGTACTACTCTTTTGCAGGGCAAAATAAGAACGTTTGGCGAAGTTTTTGTTGAGATATAATTAAATGACGTATATTTAACAATTACTTTTACGTCATTTTTCACCAAACTATTTGCCCTGCAAAAGAGCAGTACCGCAGTTACCGTGAAACGGTCTATTGGAAAATGCCCATGGTTAAAAATATTGAAAGATTCAATAATTTGTAATACAAAATAGACAGCCGCTATCAATGATAAAATATTTATTCTTCCCCATTAGACACACAGAAATAATATCTCCAACAGAACTCAGTTGTTTTTTTTTTTTTTTTTTTAATACATGTGTGATTATTTTAGTTATCAAACCTTCAACTGTTTAGGGATTCTAGACTACATTAAAAGTTTTAAGAACAGGAGGAAGGGATTGGGGTGCTTACTCCTGTATTTAATAACCTGTTTTCCTTTCTACAGATCTACCCCCCCCCTCCCCATCACTAGTTTGCCTCTGGCTCCTTTGATACCATTTACCTTACTTGCATATAAAAAAATAAATTATTAAACAGTGTTTACATCAGGTTTTACTTCTTTGGGTATTTAGCACAAATCACATTTGGGGGGGGGGGGGGGGGGGCTTTAGTCTCATATTTTTGAGTTATTATCAATCCATGCACAAACAAGAAAATCATAGTAAAACTTTGTAATCAAGAAACATAGCTGTTAAAGAACAGAGGCCTGTTCAACAGAGCGAACGTTCGCGATCGCTCGCGAACATTTCTATTGGACAGATAAGGAATTTTGGCGAGCGCTCGCGAACGTTCGCTCTGTTGAACAGGCCTCAGGTGAACACAATATACATGCTGAAATTAAGATCTTGTTGGTACCCAAAAGCACAGACAGGCGCGTAGCCAGATTTGAAGTGAAATGTACGCAGAGAACGGCTGAGGTCCGCTTTGAGACCCCCCGTTGGTCCAGGGCGAAGCCCTGATGAGGACCTAAATGTAGGGGCGAGGTACCTGGAAGCTCATGGGTTTTACCAAATATTTCATTCAAAATCATGTCATTTCGATTTTCTTTAGAAAATACAAGACATAGTACTTCACATTGTTTTTAACACAAAGTTAAATAATTTATTGTACCTGTAGAGGCTGAATATTTTTTAAAATGATATATTGGTATCATCTACTCTTCTTTAACTTTCAGCAACAAATATAATTAACTTCAATTGTTAACAAAAATAATGTTACATTTCAAATCATATTCTAGTGGATCACAGCATTCAATGGTTGATATTTTCTCAAAGATCTTTAAAAAAAATTATCAGTGTGTTGTAGAAGAATTACAAATTAATAAATCATAATGTTTTATTTGGTTGTGGCAATGATTTAATGAAACATTTCAATTTTTTTTATAAAGACATGGTAATATAAAATTTGAATTTCAATCGAAACAGTACGAGATAAAATAATTTGAAACACAAATATTTGCTGGGTGGTATTGATATTTTTTCTCTTCTCACAAATCTCCCCCCCCCCCCCAAATCCCATTTTTTAAATTTAAAAACGATGTGTACACATATGCTTATTTGCGTATAGGCAGTTACGCGCCTGTCAGAATACATTCAAGTAAAGATATTCAAATCTTAACAGCCGTCAAACTTTCACACCATTGTACTGTTAAAAATTCAAAGTATTATTTATCTAGAAAATTTATTTAATTAAAAACAGCTTTTCAAATTCAAAGGCAGGCTGTGAAGGGATTTCTGAGCAGGTGCAAAATATTTCAAACAGTCCACAGTTCAAACAGTTCTTCTGGATGAAATCAATTCTGAAAACAAAATGAAATACCATTATGGAAAGTTCATTGGTGTTTTAAAAAAGTGATACTCAAAACAATGCATTGAGTAACATGGAAAGCATATACATGACTCTACTGTTTTTATTATCAAAACATTTCAATAATCTTGCTAGGAATATGTATGGTTTAGAGCTTATATGGAGCATACCTTTTTATTTTATTGGTGGAAACACTTGCTGCCTGAATAAATTGTTCAAATTGTTTGGGAGTAGCTACAACACAATATATATGTAATGAGTGAGAAACACAATGATTACTATTGTAGAATGAAATGACATTGCATTGTACAAAACAAACCATGCTATACTATATTTTCTGAAATTCATAAAATAAATGGAAACAAACTTTTGATACAAAACTTTTCTGGGAAATTGAAACCTACGACATTTGCAAAAGTAGAATTGGTAGCTATACTTAATTTAAGTAAAAAAAAAATCAATAGTATAGAGATAACATTTAATTCTTTCACCTATACAACATTAAAAAAATATTTAACACTGGCATACCATAACATTAATGTGAAATGCTTTAGTGTGATCATACCCGGTGGAGAAATTGATGCATCTATTTTGATAGTTCTAGCTGATGTAAATTCCAGTTTTAACCAGTTCTGTGACAGCTACAATGACAAAAGAATTATACATATAAACAGAACATAAATACATGTATATACATATAAGACTGACTTAATGTACATATAGTCAGACAAATGAAAATTCAAACATTTTATTACATTAATGTAGAAATTCCACAAATTTACAGCCTAGTGATACAGATAGTAAAAGTTCTATGATGAATTTAAAATATGAAGCACTGGTAAAAACTGAAATCTTAAAATTCACATATTTTTGATTGCCAGAGGTATAAATTAAAATTTATAGGGTCTTATACTGTTGTATGTACAGTGCACATACATTGTACACTGTGCAGTTTGACTTCACAAATACATTGTGTGACTGCATCTAAATTATACTATTTGATATCATGACGTGCTGTGCTTATATTATGTTACATGTTTGTACATGTATGCCAAAGGACAACATCATTGCATGTTTAAAAGTGTGCAACTTTCATAATGTGTGTGTTTTGTTTATGTGTGGGAAGGGGGGCCCGGGGGGGGGGGGTTACACACAAGGCACTGCATTGTAGTTTGTGACGGACTGTAACAATACATCTTATTGTACATGTTCACGGTTATTTTACATCGATGTAAAGAATAGTATGTCTACATGTTAATACATATGCACATACACACCGTAATGAACACAAAGGGACCTAGGGAGGTAGTGCGGATCGTCTCAGTTTTCCATGTTTTCCCGAAATAACGTCATCATCTTCTCATCAAAAAGATAAACAAGGCCCAGGTCTCTTATTTTATCCCAATTCTCTTTAAAGATTGTCTGATTGTTGCATTTATCCAGTGCATATCTCAGCTGCTGTCGCCACGTTTTTAGATGTAAACAACATTCCGTGTCACCGAGTGCAAGCGCTTGACTGAAGCCGAATGCAGCCAAACGACACAATAAAAAGAGAATTATTTCGAAGACGCGTTGTTACTATATAAGAGAAAATCACTAATGTTTATTTATTTAAACCTGAAAATACAGACATTCATTACAAATTCTCGCAATCATCATTAAATAGCTTTTATGAGCTCTATTTCCTTATATGGATCTATCAAGGCGGAGCAACTGTCATGACGTCAAACCTCATTATGACCTCATTACCATATTATCTTCATGTGTAGCCTTAACTGTACTGCGCAGTCACAATTAGAATTTTAAGACCGTGGAAAACGGGCAATAAATATTAGACTTCTGTTTACAATCCACTCTGCCACTGAATCTAGTTTATAAATAACAGCCAATCAGAATCGTTGAACAAATTAAACGTAACTATCAGAACCTAACCTGGTAGATGTTAAAGTTACGGTATTCTTTTCAACATAAACTTAGCTTATTCTCATAAGCCTTAGTATAAATTTTGAATTGTATATCAGT